TGCTTGCCATGAAACAGTATTTATGTATTCATAAGTTTCTTGGGGTTTTCATTCTTCCATCAGCTGCCTGGCAAGAAGCCAGAATGAACAATAAAGGTTTAGAGAGGTCCTAACTGTAGGAGAGCTGCTGGTTTTCTAAGGTTAGGATTGCTGTGCTTAAGCCCCATAGCACAATGCAGTCTGGTGCCAAATTTAGCAATGAGATGAGTTTGTCTGACATCTCGTAATGATTTCCAGCATTGACTCATAATTGAAACAGATTTTACTGCGTTTGTCAAAAGGCAGAACCTTGGATGTTGGTACAGTGAGAGATAAATAAATGGATATGGTATCAGTGGATATATACTCCCCTCCTAGGTTTAAAGTGTGTGTAATATAGCCAGATATTCTCACTAGACAGTTCTAGAGGAGGTGAAGATAAAAATAAATGAACAAGCAAAATCCAGTTTTGCAGAATCAAGCAGCTGTCACAAAGGAAATCAATGGAATATGTACGACTGGCCTTTTAGTAACGTATCATTACTGTAATACTCCTCATTAGTTGTCTTTTGACAATACGTCTTGTTTAATACGAGTTTGTGAGTGTCTGAGAAGGAAGGTTTACATTTTGTTTCTGTTTTGTAACTCCTGGAGAAAATTAAGAAACCATGAGCGTATGCCCTTATTTGAGGAAAAAGTCTCCCTCTGCAATTTGTTAACATTTATTTGCATTGAATGTACACTCCCTGGTGCTGTGTAACTGCATAATGAAAGGGATCACCATCACGGGATTTGTCTTCTGTGCTTTGCATGCTCTTGCTCTTGATGTCCAGTCGTAGCTGCTGCTGGACAAGTGAAAGGTCCACTGAGTCTAATATTCTCTGACCCAGGATGGTTACATTTTACAGGCTTATATTTGGGGTATTTAGCATTGCATGTGCAGGTACCCTGTCACTACAGGCAGCATACAGCTATACCTGTATGTCTTGGGATAGAAGGGCAGATGGAAAGTCTTCCTTGCCTTCATTCTGCCATGCCCTTCTTCCCTCATTTGATCTGAGGCTACAAATAAGCAAGCTATGCCTTGTGAAAGCTTCCCCTTCATGCCATTTCAGTTACTTTTGTCTTTCTTCCTGGGCATATGGGTACTTGTGCTGTCTATTCATCAAGCCTCAGCAACCATGGCAATGGTTTGATGCCATGCTGTGGATGATATTGAGGTATATTTAGTGTCCAAGCCCTGCAGTTTTGTTTTGCATGTAGCTCACACGGGTGCTTTAGAAGTTGTTGACACAGATGAACTGCATTTGGAAGAGGGACCCTGCAGGGAAAACCACAGCAGAGCAAGTCCTTTAGCTTGGGAAGCAAGAACAGGGTCCTCAGCAACGCAGACACGCAGCATGCTTTAGTAGGAGTTGAGTTCTTCAGGAACAGGATTAATCTCATGTGACCTTGGGCACCTAATAATACCAGCTGCAGGTCTTTCTGCTTTCAGTGTGGAGAGAAACTGGAGGGCATCTTGGCATCCAGCTTCACTGCATATTAAAGTCTTGAAGTGAGGTGGGATGAAACCAGATGGGAACTTTCCTAGCTTCCTCTGAAAATCCCCACACTCATCAAGATCATCAGGGTTCTCAGGTGAAACCTATCACACCATCAGCTCCCAAGCACACTTATCTTATGCTTTCTTCATTTCAAAGGTTATCCCTCAGGGCTGACTCTCCTACCACTGATCACTGAATGTCTTTTCCTGGGAGCTTGACACTGCTTTTTCTTCTATTCTGGAGCTTCATGAGACCTCTGAGTCATTGGAGCAGATGCCAAACCCACCTAGATCATGATGGCTCAGCTTCAATGCAAAGACACAAACCCATCTTTGTCCTGTGTACCTGACTTCCCACAGTTCCCACTCCCTTGCCCAACTTTTCCCAGTTGGCATCTCTATCTTAAGAGACACTGTTACTTTAACAGCTGTTTTGTTTCATTTAAACACCTACCTCAGCTCCTGTCCAAAATGCAAACATTTCATTAGCACCTCATCTCCTTGGCTTCAGCCCGCAGCACTCAGCCATAATGAAGTGCTGCACTCAGAAATATAATGCGGGGAACACTTGATTAATGCAGTGAGACAGGTGAGGGGAGTGACCCTTTGGGAAAAGCTATGGACTAAATTCATCTCGGATGAAATGCCAGTGAAGACAGCCTACCAGCTTTGTTCAGATACGTGCTAAAGACCTGACCCGAAGTCCTTGGAAATCTTTCTAGAGCTTTTATGTCAGACTCCATATCCAAAGTGATGTGAAATGGCTGGTTTCAGGTCACTTCAAGAGAATTGATGCTCACCAGCACCATTGGGTGGAGAGTTCGCAGTGTGCGACACTTTAGGCCTAATTGATGTTCTCTCTAAAACTTTGCACACACATTTTTTGAAAAATAAGAAATAAAAAATGCATTAGAGAGAATAATTTGGGGGGGGAAAGTCTTTGCAGCAGATGTTTCACTGTAACACAAGTATTTCAGCATCTGTTTCATGGTTTGACATATAGGTATTACCTTTCCATCCAGAGTCAGGAGCTGGATCTGCTGCAAAGACTCTTTCCACCATTCAGATATTGATAAAAGTATCCAGGGTGTTGTTTTGGCAGAGATTTAAAGACACCATTAGTAGCCGAGCTAAATGGAAGTAAAGCAAATTGTAGTCTGTGTGATAACATTGAAAAAGGAGAAAAATCTTCATGTTATGCTTTCTGTGCATAAAAGGTCTTTGCAAGAAAATACTGTGTTGTGTAGAGCTTGCATAGCAAAATAGTCATGCTTTTTGGTCACTGGAAAAGAATACTGCCTTCTCTTTGCCTGTAAAGGGATATGCTACCAAAGTAAACTGCAGAATTTTATTAAGAGCTACAGAGATCAGACTTCCAGATTTTGAAACACTGAAAAAAACATGCTTAAATGCTGAGGATTTTTTGTATTTCTTTTAGACTATTAAAGTCAACCAGCTTTTCGTGTGCACATATTAAATGTGCTAAGATGATTTTTAGACTATTTAGGAAAAGTAGTTTAATAATCAGTTTAGGAAATTGATTTATGGGTAATACGTTTCACTTAACAACAAATGAGGAAAGAATTCCAAGATCTGAATTGTAAACGCTTGAGAGCAAAACGATTTTGCAGTAGCACTAAAGGACAAGTTTTTCAGCCATTTCAGTTTGCTTCAGTGGCTGAAGTTATGGGTTACTCCGTACTTCAGGAAACTAAGCTGTGAGGCTCAGGAGAAACATCGTCCGTTAATCAAGGCACCGGGGCAGTAGCTGCCACAGAGGGAAAGATCTATTTAAGGTATGGGAGAGGTTTGGTACAAGAATGAATGTGTTAATTGATTATGAATAAATGGAGATTGGAGAGCAGAAGCTTTGTACTGTCAGAGCAGCTCAATTCTGGCTCAGTCTTCCCATAGGAGCCGTGATGGTGTGAGAAACCTTCTGACCTCAGAGACACGTAGGACGAAGATGCGCGTGGCCACGTCTGCTGGGATTAGAAGCACCAGCAGTAGCAGGTCTTGCTGTCTTTGCTTCTCCTTGAACCTTGCTGTAATTGAGAATTTTTTGAAGGTCACCTCGATATAGCAATAAAATCAAAGTCCAGTTTGATATGATTATATTTTTCTGTTGCATATTTGTATCTGACTATGACTAGTGAGTGAGTCAGGAAGCCTTGCACTCTGTGCCACGTGTTGCCTTTGTAACACTCCTCTGGAGGGCTCTGCTGCAGAATGCCGTATCTTCTTTTTACACATCATGTTGTACAGATGGGTTTAGAAACACTGACAGGAGTAAATACTGAAGTATTTCCATGAAAGTGAGCCCATGGGGCATCCTTTAAGCTTGTAACATGGTGAAATCCCATGGGGCTGTCCTTGTCTGGCAGAACAGAGGTGTGGGCTTGATGCCTTACACGTTCAACGTACAGAAATTTACTAAGTACGGGCAACTTCATCTCAAAGGGAAGGTTGATTTCTGCAGACAGCATTAGCTGGCGGTGGAGGTGTTTCTTTGTGAGCCAGGCCTGCCTGGTGGCTAGACCCTAACCAGCAGAAGAAAGCACAAAGTACTTTTTTTTTTTATTTATTTATTTTTCTCTTTTCTTCTGCACAGTCAGTTCTACCAACTGGTACAGCTGGTGTCATTAAAAACATTAACTGGGAGGTAGTTGAGTCAGCTCTGGTTAGTAACTAAGTGGGGGGTTTAGGCTGAGCAAAACCTTCAGGATGAGTAGGCTCTGCTGCTGTAATTTTAGAGTCATGAGGCCAGCCGGTTTCGTGTGATCCTGGATGTGCATCCAGATTAACCTGTGGGAAGTTCTCCATGGGAGAGCTCTTTGTGCATGGCAGCCCAGGGCAGAAGGTGCACTGCAGGAGGGACTCCTTCCTGAATGTAGTGATTTGAAATGTAGTGTCTTAACTAAATCTCTTAGGGCACCTGCTGCTTCTCTGGATGAAGTGGTGTAACTCAACTATCTATGTGTCCTCATGACAGCCTTCTAGAGGTTATGTGGTGAGAAACGCTCTATGGAGATAGCCCTTGTAGAAACTAAATACCTTCCTTGTGGTGCCTCAGCCCTACTCTTGAATTCCGGTGCTGCAGGTTGCAGCAACCTGCTTTTACAGAGGGGGTTTGAAATCTGTTTTCCTCCATGTTTCTTTCATGATTTCCTCATTTCCCCTTTCCTCCCCCCTCCAAATTCCTTCTTACGCCAAGCCCAGAGCTGTTGATCATGGAAGCAAAGAAGTGCTATTCCCAGCTCACATTTAGAATAAAATCTACATTTCCTAACTCTTCTATCTGTTGGGATAAATGATGCCTAGCTCCACTGCAGGCTGCCCCAATGGAATTGGAAGTGAGATACTGTCCCCTTACTATAAACTGATGTGTGTGGAGAATAGGACTGAGCATATGTCAGAGGTCTCGATGGTGCTTTAGGTTTGCTAGAGCCCTTTCTCACTTGATCCCTCTCCCTTGCAGGCCATGGTGGAGACTGTGAACAACCTCCTGCAGCCACAGGCTCTGAACGCATGGAGGGACTTGAATGCAAGCGAACAGCAGCGCGCCGCCACCAAGTTACTCGACACTGTGGAGGACAGTGCCTTCGTGCTGGCTGATAACCTGCTGAAGACAGACATTGTCCGGGAAAACACTGACAACATCCGTAAGGGGCAGATCCCATAAATACTAAGAGTGGCCCGAGGGCGGGTAAAGGCTGGGAAACTTGGCTGCAGCCTTGGCCCCTAGGTTAACTGGAGAGCAATTCGTTAGATGTGTCTTGGCCCTGCATCTGAAGGACTTAAAATTTTGTCTTTCCAGAAGAGCCTAAAGGAATAAGGCAGCTCTCTGCTCTGGAAATCCCATGGAAAATGAGCACCTAACTTGCCTTTATTACTCCTGGCTTTGAGGGCAATATCTACGCTAGAGCAATGAGAGCATCGCTGCACAGGGCCATTGTTCATCATAATGCAATTGTGTTTCATTTCATACAAATTTATGTCTTTATTTGGCTGATTGTTGATTTTAATTATAAAACAAGCGTGATGGAAAGCACCAGCACTCCCACTGTGCATGCGTAAAATGAGAACAACTCTTCTTTCTATTTCTATGAATACAGATCCCGAGCACTGATAACATTTACAGAAAGTACCAATTGCCAGTGGCAAAGAACTAGCATTTTCAGATTTTCATTTTAACCATTGTCCTTAATATCCTGAGGTTCTTGTTTACAAGAACTGGTTGTCTTTTGTCTTCCGCAGAGAGTAGAATTTATTTGCTTTTTTTTTTTCTTTTTTAAATTAAATTTAAAACTTCTTCAGGGCAAAGATTTAAAAGGAAATAAGAGCCCAAACGGAGTCTAGCATGAAACATTGTAAGTTGATTCCTCTGCTCTCATATGGTCTGGAACACCGTTCTGAAGCTTTGAAGTATCGTGTCAAAGATTATTTCAGTAGAGATTTTTCTTAGTGTCGGTCTCTCTCGCAAACAGAGCTGGAAGTAGCGAGACTAAGCACAGATGGGAATCTGGAAGATCTGAAGTTTCCCCAGAACATGGGCCATGGGAGCGCCATTCAGCTGTCGGCAAATACCTTGAAACAAAATGGTCGAAACGGTAGGTCCAGCACCTCCAGCCACACTGGTCGCATGAATCAGTCAGCTTTAGGCATCATTCTATGTTTCACCAGTTGTACGTGCAGTATTGCTTGCTATGCTAGTATTTAAGTTCATGGTAGCATCAGTCGCTCATGCCTTTGGCTGCAAGCTAAGTCAGCTGACTGGGAATGTATTATATTGCTAAGTGATCGACAGTCTTCAAAAGTATCACATGCTGATAAAAATGCATCAGATCCTTAAATGATGTGGTTGTTGGGGCACGGCGCTGAGTCCAGAGAAGTGCTTTTAACTGCTGTTGTCTGCAGTAGGAGGCTCCAGGGATAAGAGGCTTGTTTGAGTAAACTGCTTCACTGTGGGGCACTATACAAATACCTGAAAAGGGAGATGGAAGAAGAGATAGTAACAAATATTAATAATGAGCCAACATGGCAGAAACGGTTGATTAACTGTTATGAGTCTAAATCTTCAGTGCCTTTTTCGCTGAAGCTTATGAACCTCCCGATATAGCGTAAATTAAAGTCGATGTTGTATGTGGATGGTCTTCATGCTGCCAAGCCATTTATTTCCAGACCAAGAATTTGAGCAGACACGTTTGTTGCTCTCTGCAGCTCCACTATAGACTAACTTCAAACTCAGAGGCTTTCTGCTAATGGGCCTAATATGCTCCTATTTCTGAGTTCCTTTTAAAATTAACCTGTGTGCAGGGGCAAAGTGCTCTGGTGTGGGCTTTGGTCACTGCAAGCAAAACATGGAGTGCTGGGGCAGTGTTACGGCCAGACCAGATATGTTAAAACTGCAAAAAAATCTGACAGCTGTTGAGAGAAAAGTTTGACCTGTTGGTTCAGAAGGAATACCTCCCCACAACCAATACATATAAAGGCAAACTAATCACAGCCAATTCTTATTTATAGCCTGTAAAATAATGTGCAAAACAGAAGACAAACTGGATTATTTCATTAAAAACAGTTGGCTGATAGCCTGAGTTTTCTGCAGGCTCCTTAATGGTGGGGTTTTTTGTGGAAGAGGGAATATCTGATTGGCAAATTCAGAAAAAAATATTTTGCATTGAAATTTCTGCAATTTTGTTTTACCTTTTATGTAAGATTGGAGTTGTTTTGGAAAGTTTTGGATTCCTTCTCCTAGATTTGTCACCACCCTTTACTGAGGTATCCTTAATTTATTAATGGGCTAAATAACGGGTTTTTTTATACTGAATCTGTGCGACAGGCCAGAATGAAACATGTTTCCGAAGCATAGCCTGGAGAATAGTGTTATGTCAGGTGGGAAATGGGCCACCTGGCCTCTTTTCTCTGGAGCCAGTTACACCCACTGACACCAAAAATAAGCCCACCTCCTCTGTCTGTCTTTTGCCAATCTGTTTTGCTTATAAAAGTTTGTTTCCAGGGAGGCAGCTCTGCCCTTGTTTTCCATAGACCACTTGTTGCACCTCATGCTCTTTGGGACTGGGAGGAGGAGAAGAATTTTCGTATACCACATATTGGTCCTTTCACATTTTCTCAGAGAAGTTTTAAAGTTTATTCAGAGTAGAGATTTGTCATCTAAAAACAAAAAACCCCACAACACCAAAACCCAGCATGCTAACGTGGATACCTAACCTCTTACTGCTCTTCTAGGTGAAATCAGGGTGGCTTTTGTTCTGTACAACAACCTGGGCACCTATCTTTCCACGGAGAACGCCAGCATGAAGTTGGGAACAGAGGCAATGTCGACTAATCACTCCGTCATTGTCAACTCACCTGTCATCACAGCAGCAATAAACAAAGAGTTCAGCAATAAGGTTTACCTAGCTGATCCCGTGGTGTTTACAGTCAAGCACATCAAGGTGAGTGAGTTCAAAAAGCACCTCTTTTATTTTTCAATTTCTAAAACAAAGTGATGCAAAAGTTGGCTGATGGGAAGCCCCCAGCAGCCGTTGATTAGATTTTGAATTATACATTTGTTCCTTTGCACTTTGTGTTATTTATGGAGAATGTCTCTTTTATGTTGCATTAATAAAAGTAAGGGAAAAGTCTCCTTTGAGCTGATGCCCATTGCTCAACTGCTGACACACGTCGTTCTGTAATTAAAAACTACCAATATATTAGAATAGACCATAATATTATTTTATCATGGTGGCAGGGGATATTAGAGGAAAGTGGAATTACAGTGAAAGAGGACAGCTAGTCCTCCTGTTAGCCAAGCACAGTCATTGCAAAAGTTGATTGCTTAAAGCAATTAATTTCTCTGTTCTGCAATGCAAATGAAGCAATCTAGTTTTGAAGAGCTGGATTTAGTCTATGGCTAAAATTAATCACGAACAAAGAACTAAGTTTGCATTAGCAAAGAGAGGCACAACAATCTAACTTTCTCTGGTATCAGCAAGTAATACTTGACGTGTAAACCACTGCTGATTGTTTATCTAAAATTAAAGGGTGAGAGTTACGAAGTGCCTCTGGGGGGAAAAAAACAGCACATTTAGAAATCTCTGAAACCCTATCATTTTTATTACATTTATTCATTTCTTCCCTGCAGCAGTCAGAAGAAAATTTCAATCCAAACTGTTCATTCTGGAGCTATACAAAGCGTACAATGACAGGGTATTGGTCCACCCAGGGATGTCGCCTCCTGACAACTAACAAGACGCACACCACGTGCTCCTGCAATCACCTGACCAACTTTGCGGTCCTGATGGCACACGTGGAAGTTAAGGTAGGCTTTGCAGACTCACGGGCCAGCAACGCACTGAGCCCGAAACATGGCCAATCTAAAACCATTCCGTTACTGCAAATGGGGCTGAGCAGGGAAGTTGCTGTATGACGGTAACTTTAACGGTAGAAACCATCTGGTGTAAATCTTCCTTCTGCCATATGGTGAAACAGGAGATAGTCACACCAATGCAAAGCCTGTCTTGAGCTCCTGGCATGGGCAGCTCTGAGCTGAGGATGATGAGTGAGCAGAGTTGGCTGCTGCCACGTCCTTTGCTTACTGGTGCAAAACATCTCTTGGCTGGATCCTTACTCCAGGGGTCCTCACTGTGCTATACCAGGGAGTAGTGATCACCCTGGGTGGTGGGACAGAAGCATGCAGAACCTGCCCTGTAGGAAGCAAGTTGTGTGTCCTGCTTGCAGCAGCTGCACTACTGAGGGTGTTTGTGTGAAGTGGATGTGTGGAGCTGGAAGTATTTTTCAGATTACAGCTAGGGGAAGACGATACACACTCCGCATCTCACTAAGCGACAGCAAGCTACATGTAAAAAGGAGGCTCATTATACCGTCCTGCATTGACTGTACGCCTACCTGAGGGCAGTAGATGATCGGCTAGTTCCCTTGCCCGCATTTAGGCCCACGGTGTAATTCTGGCTTCCCACATGACTATTCCCACTGGAGCTGAAGAAGTCACTTCTGAAAGCAGATGTTCCTCATGGTAGCAGTGGCTTGGGGAGTGAAGTGCACATTTGGGGCTTTATTCGAAGAAGAGGAGAATGGTTGATGTGATCCTCCATTTCCTGAGCTGTATTGGCTTAATTAAGAGCAATCTCAGCTGCTGTAGAAAGGAGAAGGCTCCGATGCCCAAAAGATTTAGGCCTAGTGATTTTCTGTGTTGCAGTGTCACCATTTCCTGTGCCTGGCACTGCGGCAGAATCCACAGCTCTGAGCTAGATATGGATCTGGCATCTTCCATGCAGGCAGAAAATTTCAGAGCCACTTCCATGGCTACATAACCACAAAAGCTATTATGGTTTTAAAAGACCTTTTCTCAAATAGTCTTCCAGTGTCACTCCTTTGTATATTTTTGTTTCACTTGGTAATCTGAAGAGGAATGTGAAGAGCTGAAGTAAAAAAAATATATTAAAGCACCATGATGCATGACCAAAGCTCTGCAAAAAAAAAGAAATGGGAGCCTGGCAGCACATTTGCCACAACAGCTGGGTCCAGCTGAGAGGGGCAGGATAAATCTGCTGCTGCTGCAGGATGACACATTGTATTCTGCAGGAGTCACCACTAGTCAGGGAGACGTGCCATTAAATAGCTGTGGCATTATCCTGGGAGATGTCTGAAGAAATGGCCTTTTCAAAGCACATGTTTACAGGTTAATGACATTCTGCAGTCCAAGTCTGGTTTTGCCAGTTTCCTACAACTGCTTAAATTTTCAAAAGAAATGTGTTTGGCTCGTTATCACCCGCCTGGAGTTAACAGATATACCTGCGTCATTGAAGTCAGAGATTGCACCTGGGAAATGCAGACAGCTTTCCACTCCACTGATGTGAATGAGGACAATCCCTACTGCATGGTGCAGATACAGGCCACCATCAAACAAGCCTCTTCCCTAACTGCAAGTAGGTCAGACTTGTCTACATGGCATTCCATCCAAACCTCATTAGGCTAATAGCGCTGGTGTTATCTCATATTGCAGAAAGAGAATGTGAGACCCTTGCTTGCCCATGCTCAGCCAACAGGTTGGAAAGCGCTAGAGCTGGAAGATTGCTGAGTGCCCAGCCAGGGTGCTATTAGCTGGTAGATGTTTCTGGATGTTAACGAGTGCCCTGAAGACTTTCAGGTCATGTTTTATCACATGGCTTCAGCCAAAGTATCAGTGCTGTGAGAACTATATTGGCTCCGTGTTGTTGATGCTGGTGCAACCACACAGCTTCCTGGCATGTCTGCTTTAGTGACCAACCTAATCTGAGGCTTAAGGCAGGTGTGTGCCCTGCAAACGTTTGCAACTCTTCCTTCCAACTGCTCATCACCTTGCTCTTCTGGTGGCAGCATCCCACAGAGGATGCTGCTGGAGGAGTTGGCCATGTGGCTCTTGACAAATCTCGTTGTGGCTTGCATGGCATTTCTTATGCTGTTGTAATAAGTTGATTTTAAAGTCTTGGGAGCAGAATAACTACTGGTTTGGAAAGGTAGAAGTTTAAAAATAAATAGGTGAAGTGTGCACTTCACTCCTCAGTGTCATTCGTTCATCTCTCATAGACACACTTTTGAACCGATTTGTTGTCTCATGTGTGGTACAAGAAGGCATTCCTTACCCCAAAGACTTTTTAGTCTTCTTGGAGGTGGAATGATCCTTGGGGACGGGATATTGTGTGCTTGTCTGGGACCTCTTACAGTGTTATTCTAGCTGGTGACTAAGATCCCTAAAGAGGACTGCCCTACACACAATAATAAATGTGTTCTAGGAGTTTTGCAACAGAAGCACTTTTCTCCGTAATTGAGATTTGTAGTTTACTTACTTCAGTTTGTGAGATTTTTGGGTCCATAGGGAGTCTCATTTGGTGTAACGAGTATCCACAGCACCCTACCCAATGAGATCGAACACTGGGCATCGTGGGGAGCAGGCATCAGAGTCCTGCTCCTTAATCAAAAGCCAGCAACAATTTGACAAGTGTCACTTCTGGTCATGAATGATCTCCCTCCCTGGTAGCATGGCAAAAGAACATGTTCTCCACAAGAGACCTTGGTGGCTGCTCTGCAAGTTATGGGCTGGGATTTAATTATTAGCAGAGTGTATGCAGCAAGGCGGAGCTGGAAGGCAGCGCTGCTGAGGAGGTGATTGATGGCCACCTAGCTCCGTAGCGTGAAACAGCAATATGTCTTTGTCCGAAGGGGCAGAAAATGACATTGGCTGACCGCAGAGGCAGGGATTTATTGTCGCACTTCAAGAGTAGAAGTTGCTGGGGTCAACTCCTGTCCTTATAGGACAGTACCCGATTAAGGGGAGGAGATTTTAATTTGAAGATGCTCTCTGCCTGTTAGAATTAGTTGGATCCAGAGTTTTATATTCACCCATATGTTTCATTGGAGTAAGTACCAGTGCCCAAGACCAAGAGCCTGCTGTGCAGACGGGCAGGATGCATAGCTGCTTGCAAGAGTGATGGACCCAAACCCGCAGGTACCCCTCCGGCTGCTGTCGGTGCCCCAGCTAGCACGGGAAGAGGACAGCAGGACTGTAATGGCCTGGGAGCTGGACCTCACTGATGCATCCTCCTGGCACCTGCAGTGCTTGTTGCCCTTTCAGACAGTTTACCAGGATAAATGAGAACATCCCTTTGGAGAGAGGTTTTAAGACGTGGAAACAAATGACTGTTTTCATCAGCTAAGACATTAATTTGGCCTGTGTTATGGGAAAATTATTACAGTCTCATAGATATTTTGTTAAATTATGAGATATGTTTAACATAGATGAGATCTATGATAAATATGTATCTATTGCTTGAATCAGTAGGACATTTATTATGACCGTTAGATGGTATAAAAACATGGGGGGTCCCATGTCATGAGACAAAGCCCATTGTTAAATAAGCCATTCTACCTATGTAATTGCTGCAGAATTATTCAAAATTTACAAGCTGTTTTTCATATAAGCTTGTGCTTTGCATCGTATTAATTATAGCAGATGCATCTTAAATGTACCATGGGAAAAATATGCAGCCATAAAATACATTCAGAGCTGATGGGAAAATGCAATTAAAAACCCACCCAAAACAGAATAAGCAAAGGTACCTCAGGGTAGATAAGTGTTGCTTATCAGTATGTAGTGAATGCCAGAGCTTACTCTTCTTTTAAAAATAACTAAATAAATAAAACAAGAGAGAAAGGGTGGAAAAAAAGAAAGGTGTTTTAACTGTAGCAATTAATCAGAAGCTTTCAGATGTTGTTCTGTACCACAAACACGTTATACCATGCTAATTATTTGGGGAGTGGAAGCGTAAGGAGACTAAGGAGAGAAACGAATAAAAATATATGAACTCTAAATAGAATTCAGTGGTCCATTGCCTAAAGCAATGCAGCCATTTTAGCTACAAAGAGCAAGCTGAAGTGTTGGCTTTTCCATATATTAGCACTTGTGGGACTGAACAGCAGTGAATGAAAGCAGAAGTGGGTGCAGGATTGCAAAAACACCCTAACTGCAGAATTAAACTACTGAAACGACTATATAATGAATTTTGCAAGACAAATCATTTTGTACTCTCGAAGGGGTTAATTCAAAAAAAAAATTACACATTGCAAAAAGTAACTTATTCTGTTGTTAAATACAAACTATTTTAGTTAAACAGAGGAGTTATTAAATGTGCTTGTCCTCAATGAGATTTCAAAATACAACAGTATTTGAGCTTGTGCTAGGAACACTAATCTGTGATTTCAATGAACTCTCAGAAGGAGGAGTTGTGAACGGCACATTTGGTTATACCTTCAGTATTATTATATTATATTATACCTTCACCTATTAGGTGAAGTCATCTATGCCTATGAGGTCAATTCAGAGTTGTACCTGGTAGCAGTCCTTCAGTTTTTTGTGTAGGTGGGCAGTAAGTCACTCCAGGGAGTTCCTTGAGTTCCCTACCCTCCATCTGACACACGTTTTGGGTTGAGCCCTAGTTGTGTTTTACTGTTTCTAGTTCTGCTGGTACTTTTCTGTGTCCACTTTTGGGTGTCCAACTTGGAAACATCCAGGGCCTGGCTTCATAAAGATGTATTACAAGACACTGAATTTGCAGTTTCTTAGTCCAGCACTTACAGCTGTCAGAAATTTGAGCACAAGAAGCTTTTTAGCTACGAATTCCTTTGCACCTCAGTCCAATGGGTACCTATTTGCTTACGGTCACCCTTCTTGACTCTCTGATCGGTGAGCCAGGGCTAGTTGCACAGTTAGGAGCTGTGCCACAGGGCACAGGGACAGCATTACCCAACAGGGTTTTATGATCC